ATCAACTAAACTACAAAACTAAGCACCACTTCTTAACTTGCATCAATAAGAAATGACTCGTAGGTTGATCCAAAGTTAGCAAGTTGGTGATCATCATAAAGTGATGAATATACCTTATTTAAATTGTGTTTAATTCCACCCAATGCTGAATGTTCACAATACAACATTACTTTTTAAATGCAAGTAATTGCATTCAGAAAAGGCACTGCAGTATTTTAGATAACTATGATTAATTATCATGACATTTGACAGTATGTTTGATTTTGCAACTCCTAAACTAGGCAGTGTAGTGATATAATAAAGGAACGCCTACCTCGTTTGTGACTTAACCGATTGAAATGGCAATGTCATATGTATAAAAAAAACACAATGGCATGTTGTGCATGTTTTATAACCTTTACATTGGATGCTAATTTATTTTAGATTTAAATCATCCAATTTACAACAAAACTTTATTACATTCACTTGCATTTGAAAAACTTAGGTCTCAAAGGACACCATTTGTAGCATGTTATGTTCTTAAGCAGTTTATTCAATGCAATGGGATAGACATCAATATTCATTCCCATTGATTTGCAAGGAATTTTAACATATCATTCCTCTTGTAGACCAAGGAAATTATTCTAAAGACCATACATTTAAGTGATTAAAAAGTATAATATTACAATTTAGAATGTTATTAAGTTGTTTAAATATGTATTTGCACTATTGAGGGCATACATAAGACAAGTACAACGAATAAAAAAAAAGTAAAATTATGAACATCAAACAATCCATCAACTATTCCAATCAGAGGCATATATTCATTGCTAAGTACTTGAAAGAACAATCATCAACAACTCGACTAAGCAAGTGATCTAGTGTAAAAATCAACTTATCATGCAACATTATATATAAACAAAGCACAACTAGCCCTTATACATGTAAAAACAAATTACATTCATACCACACAATTCTTATGTATATACAAATCTAACACCCAAAGTTTGATATTTACATTTATAACACCTTGGTGTCATAAACCTACAAATGAAAATGTGTAATTCAATTTTAAAAAGTAGTGATGATGGTATTTTTTATGGTAATTCAATTATATGCTTATTTCCTTTATAATTTTTAACTTGTAATAAAGCCAAAAACTTGATCCCAAGCAAAAGCTAGGTAAATTCTTAATTTCAAAGCAAGTACGAATACATTTATAATATTTAATATGAGATAATGCATATCGTTATCAAGTAATATATGACTTATTAATTAAGCTCTGAATATAGAATCCACAGGAAAAATGTAATATTCACTTTATAAAACAGGAGAAATTAGATAATCAAAATTTTTCTTAGCAAAATTTTCTTACTTAAACTTTAGATACTAAAATTGGAATGAAAGTTCAATTCTTTTTCTAATTTTTGGTAGTTGAAAATAAAGTAAGCAACTAACTAACTTAACTAGATATTTGCAAGATGAAAACAATATAAATAAAATATTTTTTTTCTTATCATGAATTAATAACAAGTATAGAAATTATGTTGTGGAATTATTCTAATTGTGTTGTGTCAAATAGAAGCAATAAAATTTTTTACTTAAACTCTAGATTACTATAATAGGAATGAAAGTTCAATTTTTTTTGTAATTATGATAATTGAAATTAAAGTAAGCAACTAACTAACTTAACTAGATATTTGCAAGATAAAGACAATAAAAATAAAATATATTTTTCCTTATCATAAATCAGTAACAAATATAGTATATCTGTTGTGGAAGTATTCAAATTGTGTTATGCCAAATAGAAGCAATAATATTCTTTATCCTTACTAGAGATGCTATAAAGAACATTGACTAATTTACAATTTGAATAGTTTTAAAGACGGGTTAGGTAAGGAAGATATTGACACTCTCTAAAGTTCTATCTTCTCCCTCCACCCGGGGCTAACATCTCATATCAAAACCTAAAATTATAAATGAAATTGGGGGCTTTAGCCTGTCACTCTAAAGTCCTCTAATTTTATACCCTTCAAAGTTTATTTTCCTATTTATTTGCACTCAATCTCATGAACTACATTCTCATCCATGAAATCAAATGTCATTCTTACCATTTATTGATTGAGAAAATACCATCTCAGATCTTACATGTTCTCACAAATGTGCTAACATCCTAATTGGTTAAATCAAGAAGTAAATGAAGTATAAGATTTAAAATCATCACAACTACTTATAACATTAAAGTCTAATACTTCACACAACTTCCCTCCAATACTTAATCACTTATCATTTTAAGGAAAAATATAAAGAAAACTATTCAGAATTCATGGAAAAAACACAATCACACATGAGTTTGAAAGTAGAAATCATGCACACAAACAAGAAGTCTAAAATAAAACTAAATGTAGTCACAAAGATAAAAACTTGTCTAAAATTCTTCTCCACTAAATGTCTTGAAGTTCCTTTGAATCTCTTCCTTCACTCGCAATACAAAATACACTCAAAATAAAAAGAAAATGTGAGCAACGACGACGACGACGTATGTGGTGGTTGACACTGGTCGGTTTGGATGGATGATGATGGTTGACCTCTTCCATGGATGATCCAAGTCTTTTTTTTATAAAAATCCAAAATGTGCCTTGATGTCTCTATAAAATGTGTCCCAATTCAATGAATCTTTTAGAAGTTGTCTCTTTTCAAAATTCAATTGAATGAATTTTTGTGTTAAAACACATTTTAAAAAATTCATCTAAATTTAATGAATCATCAAATAATTACTTCTGGCACTTAAGCGCAGGGTACCCGACGCTTAGGCACGGCTCTTTCAGTTTAACTGACGCGTAAGTGCCAGTCTTGGGCGCTTAAGCGCATCAGTTCATTTTTGCACCCTCTTCATTTTTGCTCCAAATTTGATCATTTTTCACTCATTTTACCATTTTTCATCTAATTGATTGTACCTGAAAGAAAAACACACAAATATCTTTCATTAAAATACAATATCTCAAAAATATGTATAAAAATGTGTACATAAAGACTAAATATTTTAGGTGTAACAAAATCCCCCAAACTTAAAATGTTACTTGTCCTCAAGTGACACTCCAACCTTTTTAAAACTAAATAAGTAGATTATGTATATGAGTTTCTTTAGGATATTCCAAAGTTTTGATGTAAAGATATAGTAGTCCAATTTAGAAAAAAACATTAGTGAATGAGACCAACTCATAGTTTAGAAAATTTTAATGTAAAGAAGTTTGAAAATATGAGTTTTTATCTAGTTCAGAAAATATTGTGAATTCTCCAAATATAGAGTTTAGGCATTCAGTCTTTTCTACTTATAAAAATTTTATAAAGCATAATTTTACTTAATATATTATATCTTTAAGCTTAAGTGTTTCTCAAGTCTTATACTTTAGAAAGATCAGATGTGGAACCAATTTTTGATTAGGCACTAGTCCTCAAGTTTTTTCTCCCTTTTTCAACATTTTTTTTTTGCAGACAGGAAATACTATATCTGGATAGACCTTTAATGATTTTGAATTCCACATTTCTTTTCCTAAAGCAAAGAATTTATATATTTCATTTACTTAAAAACATAATAAGAGTTTTAAAAATTACTTTCAATAAAATAAATTTAAGTTTTGAATTTCTCCCTTTTTCAACCTTTTTTTTTGCAGACAGGAAAGACTATATCTGGATAGACCTTTAATGATTTTGAATTCCACATTTCTTTTCCTAAAGCAAAGAATTTATATATTTCATTTACTTAAAAACATAATAATAGTTTTAAAAATTACTTTCAATAAAAGAAATTTAAGTTTTGAAAATAAAAGTCTAATTCTTCTACCATTTTTGAAAATATAATTTCTCCTACTAAGGATAATTACACAATATTTATAATTTCCACACTAAAAATTTTTAACTTTAAGTTTTTCTCAATTACTATAGATTTTAACCAAAATTCTCTTACTCATTTCAACATTAAAAAATTTACTTCCCTAATATAACTTCATATGCATGATCATTTTTCTTCAAGTTAAAATCAAATTTATTTTAAGTATATTTGAGAACAAATAAATTTCAAATTTTTAAAAGAATTTTTCATTCCCCCCAGATTAAATACATAAAGTATTATTGAAAGATTCAAAATATTAATTGAAATGTCAAATCGTCTCTAAATTTGACATGTTTATAATCAAATTAAGCACATTGGGAAGCAATACCCAATAACTTCAATATCACTCAATTCTAAAATCATTAGGACACATAATTATTGAAAGAAAAAACTTTTAATTAAAAGAATAAATTCTACAAAAACTCATTTGAGTATTTTGATATTTTGACAAAATTATCGAAATACAACTTTAAAGATGATAAATAAACATGCATTTTGCACATAACTAGTGAAATACATTGATTGCTAAATATGAACTCATGAAGATAATTTGAAGTTGATGATTACTCTCAAACATGTGTCTATTATTGTTTGATTAATATTTCTAAGGGTCTGTTTGGTGCAGTTGTAACTTATTACTAAGCAGCTGTGAAGTTATTGAATAATAATATGGTGCTCAAAAAGTTGCGGTGAGTATTACTATTTTTTTTAAGTACGATCGTTGTTAGAAAACTGTCACTACACCTAATTAGGACTGATGAAAAAAATGTAGATTTCAACGATAACTTTTAGAGAAAGGTGTCAAACCCTCATTTACCCAATAGACAATAAATTATCATCATCTAATTAGTATTTTTATTTGATAACCCATATTTTAACAACAAAATGACAAATGGATATTATAATTCCATCTTTTTACCTAAAGAAGAGTGAATGGCATTATCGATATTTTTATTTCTTACCGAATGGCAAAGTCGATGGGACCCAAATAGATATTTTGACTGCCCAAACGGGGGGAAGCAACTAGACACATACAACGGTGTGGGGCGAAACCAGTCCACGTCAACCAAAACCGCTGTACGCTGTTTGAAACCAAACATCAAATTATTTTCTGCGTCCGTCACCTCTGCTAGATTTGGGCCTTTTCCCACGCACGATAAGGGATGAGAATCGGCTTCGCCTGAATGAGAAAAGTTAGAGAGAGAGAGAGAGAGAGAGAGAGAGAGAGATTGGGATGAAGATACAGTGCAACGCTTGTGAGGTTGCGGAGGCGAAGGTCCTATGCTGCGCCGATGAGGCCGCGCTGTGTTGGGAATGCGATGAGAAGGTACATGCGGCCAACAAGCTCGCAGGGAAGCATCAGAGAGTTCTGCTTCTCTCTGCTTCCTCCTCAAATCCCTCATATAGGGTTCCCAAATGCGATATTTGTCAGGTTTTGCTCTGATCTTCGTCTTCACTCTTCTACCAGCTAGCGGAATTGTTTCCACGATTTTTTTTTTGGGGGAGTTGGGGTTTCATGTTGATTCAACAGAGGTTAGATCTGAGATCTTTGATCGGTAAACTGTGATTTGCTTTTTTATCTGGTTTATGTTGGGAGGAAATCGTTTTTAAGAACTCTATGCTTGTGTTGTTAATTTTTTTAATTTTTTTTTCTTTTTGAGTTTAGGGTTGCTCTGTCTGCAAACGGGGAGGCTGAACCTTTGTGCTCTTGTTTGTTCTCGGTTGACCGCCAATTGCGTGCTAATTTTTTTCCCTTTTTCTTACCGGCACTGTGCTGAGATTTGTCGGTATTATATTAGTTTGTTAGGGTTTTCAGAACCCCTCATTGGGACGTTTTCTCCAGCAAAAGGAGATTTGGATAAGTGATTGCTGTGTGGCTAAGTTTTTTACCTGCTTGCTGAATCGATCAGGTTATGAAACAATCAGGTTGAGGGTGTTTGTAGGTACCTTGGCGAGTTTGGGATTAATTCGTGAATCTTGTTGGCACTGGGTGGAAAGAATAGTGTTGAGAGCTCCTGATTTTCATTTCGAGTCAGGATCGACTGAATTGCTAATCGGCAGACTAGAACTCCATTGTTGGGCTTTCACAATGATAAGTTTGATCTCACATCTGCATATGAATCAATCCACTGCAGAAAAAAGATGGCTCTACAAAGTAGACAGTTGAGTGAGTTGGATTAAACTGAAAATTTATATGATGCAGATATCAGAATGCTCGATGGTGATGGTTAATTCAGTATGTTCTTAGGCGATTTACTTATGATTGCTCTTGATCACCATTAATAGTTCAGCTTTTTCTTAGAAAGTAAATGTTCAGCAAAGTATCAGAAAAAGACTGGTATTTTGAATATTATAATGGAAACCACAATGGCGTGGTTTCATCTCGACAGGAAAAGTTTCACCTGTGTTTGGACGGTGCACCTTCTCTTTCAATACTTGTGTTGAATTCTAATTGGTTGTGAATCAACAGTGATACCTCTTGTCTATTAGGTTCATTCTCATAAAATAATCTTTCTATAGGCTGTATACGGTCGGTAGGTTGAGTCAGTCGCCGATCAATTGAGCTTGATTGTCTTTGGGATAGTATGATTGGTTCTGCCGACTAGAATTGGTTGATGTGTCGATTATTTGATCTAGTCTGGTTGTCAACCCTCGATCCCTGATGAGGAACTCCTATCAACAGTGTGGTGTTGGACTATCGAGTAGATGTTGAATTACAGTAATCCGATAGGTAGTTCGCTCTTCAATGAGTATAGCCTGTGTGATGTCAATAAGACTTTTTGTTATTATTGTTAATTCTTGATTTCTGATGATAAGTTTCAAGAGTGTTCGTGGAATGGTTGGTGATATAGTAAAACTATATCTTTCTTTGGATCGGATCTCGCGAAAGGTAGGTTGTTGCCTTATGTCGGCTTTCTTGCAGTTGTTGGCTTGAATATCTGTCTCATTTTTAACTGAACTTCTCGGATTTGGTTGCTTTTGTGACTCGGACAGGTTTGACCTTGCTTCTCTGGCTCAAACGACTGCATCCGATCCGATAAGTTGGTCATCTAGTTTTCTTTTGGTGGGTCATCTTTTGTTGTACTTTCTTCCTTTTGGACCTTTGGATCTATTCACGATCAACACTAACATATTTTTGATGTACAACATGCGAAGCTACTCACGAGCTTTAATATAAGGAAGATTTACATACACACCACTCAATTCTTGTAAATTTAAACATCTAACACCCAAACTTCAATTTTTACATGCATGCCACCTTACGGCCTTACCTATGAGTAAAAATGTGTATTTTCACTTTTTAGAAGTTAAAATGATGTTTTTTTCATCTGATATGAAATATTTGGATGGTATTAACATAAAAAACAAAGTTTAAGTGTTAAATGTGTAAATGCATAGGAAGTGGGTGGCATTTTACATCTAAAATTTTCAATGGCAATCTCTTACCTTTACAACAACAACAGAAAATGCATTTGTTTATAACAGCAAAAGAATTGTCTGGGGTGTATGTTGATTTCTCCCAAAAAAAGAAAAAAAAAAAGTGTACTGAACTATTTCCATGGTATGCTATCTAGGGGATTTCACGAGGATAAGGTTAATCCTCAATAGAAATTAACATGTTTTATACTTTCATTATTAATGCATTTCTTTTGAACACCTTGTTTATAAATTAGCTGTGCAATTATTTTTAGTAACTCTTCTTTTTTTGGCATCAGCGACATCAAATATGATAGTCATCCTCTTTGCCTTACATGATTTTATAATGGCAATCCAACTTAAGTTGTGCACCAATTGGTGTTATTTCCTTGTCCTCGGGCGCTATTGTGAAGGCCATCATCATTTATTCATTTTTTTTTTGGTTTTTTAGCAAAAATCAAATTTTATCACCGGTTACTCGCAAAGTGGAACAAGTGTTCGGCTTTAGTCTTCTAACTCAACAGCATTTATACTTTTGTGAGAAAATGTCAGAATTTGAACTTCAGCCATTCCTATCCAAACTCTACACGTGGCTTCTGACAATTTTTAAAAGGCACATTTACATACATACCACTCAACTCCTATGTATCTTTTTATTAGTAAGGCAAAGTGGAATGGGTTAGTATATACTATCTATCTGTTACCTCATAGATAGTATTTATTAACCCATTCCACTTGCCTTATTACTTATATCTAACACCTAAATTTTAGGTTTTACAATAACACCACCCAAATCTTTCATATCACGTCAAAAATACATTCATTTTAACTTTTAAGAACTGAAATACACCTTTTCATACACAGTTAAGGTGCCATGAATGCAAAAATTCAAATTTGGGTGTTAAATATGCACATACGTAGGAATTGATAGTTATGCATGTAGATTTTCAGTTCTATCATTCCCTTGAAGCTGTTCAAATAACTTAATGAAGTTAATGATTCCCGGATTTGGTGTTTGAGTGTGATATTTTTCTACTTTGTATATATTGTCATTCACCTAACAGGAAGGTTCTGCTTATTTCTTCTGCCTGGAAGACCGAGCAATTCTTTGTCGAAACTGCGATTTTTCCGTCCACACAGCAAATCCATGTGTTTCAATCCACCAGAGATTCCTTCTCACCGGAGTTCAAGTTGGTCTCGAATCCACCGCATCAGCTCCATCGATCTCAAAGGACCAATCCAGTTCTGCTAAAGTCCCTCTCGAACCATCCTCCAATCACCCCAAATCAAGCCTACTTGCTACATCCCATTCTGAAGAGCTTAATGAAGTTTATTCAACTGAAATCACTAAAGATGGAAGAATCGGGCCCCTCGCAACATTTTTCGGAGGAGCCCCAATGGCTGCAAGTATAACCGAATGGCCCCTGGACGAGTTCTTTAGATTCACGGATTTCAACCAAAACTACGAATTTACAGATAATGGCTCATCTAAGGTTATTCCTGATTTCCTCAACATAATTTATAATATCTCCATATAATGCCATAGAAAAGGAAAATTTACATTCGTAGCACACAATTCTTATGTATTTTCATATCTCACATTTAAATTTTATATTTACATACATAGCAGTATGGTGTTTTAAAACATATATATGAAAATATGTATTTCACTTCTAAAAAATAGTAATAATGTTATTTTTGATGTGATATTAAATATTTGAGTGTTGTGTGTGTACTTATGAAAGTTTACTTGTGAGATGTGTAAATACATAAGAATTGTGTGCTATGCCTGTAAATGCCCCTAAGAAAACAAGAGAAATTGACACACATACCATACAATTCTTATGTATTTACATATCTAACACTCAAAATCTGAAAGTTTGTGTGAGATGTGTAAATACATAAGAATTGTGTGCTATGCATGTAAATGCCCTCAAGAAAACAAGAGAAATTTACGCACATACCATACAATTCTTATGTATTTACATATCTAACATTCAAAATAATTCAAAATCTGATATTTACACTTATAACATCTTGGCGTCATAAACCTATGTATAAAAGTGTATATTTTAGTTTTAGAAAGATAGTAATGGTGGCATTTTTTATGTAATGTTAAAGATTTGAGCCGCATGGATGCAAATATGAAAGTTTAGGTGTTAGATATGCACATGCATGAGAATTGTGTGATTTGTATATAAATGCTCCTTAAAAAACAATCATTTTTCTTACTGATTGGAAATCTTCGGCAGGCGGACAGTGGGAAGCTTGGAAGTTCAGATGGGTCGCCGATGAACCATTCGTTCGATGAGGAGATGGAGGCGGAGGAGTGTTTGGGTCTGGTGCCTGAAATACCGTCTCCGCCAACTTCGTCGGGACTCAACTGGCCGCGGAGCTCTCGATATCTTTCGTCGGATAATGCGGCTTTCGTACCTGATATTTCTTCTCTGCAGAATCCATACCAAGCGAGAATGACTCTTTCGAAACGGCGAAGATCGTGTAATGGCTGATCTTGTTACCATGTGAGGTTTGTGGTTCTTCTTCCTACCTTAATAGGTTATCTGAAAGTTTGTTTCTGTTCAACATTATTACTGTGGGAGATGATGAGGTTGGAAAAGTTGATGTTCATAGGGCTAACTGAACTCAGAGTTTGAAGGCTTGAGTTAATATTGTTGTTTTATTGTTTTGATTTGTTTGAGTATATTTCCTTTTTTTTTTTTTTGGGTTTATTTCTTATGTATTTGCATATCTAAAGCCAAATTTCAACGTTTTATGTATATTTTAATTTACTTGTGCATGAAACGTACATTTCAATTTTTAAAAGTTAAAATAGTGATATTTTTGATGCGATATGAAAAATTTGAATGGTATAAACTTATAAAATAAATTTTTAAGTGTTAGATATGTAAATAGAGAGGAAAGGGACGGTATGTTTGTAAATGTTCCATTTGTTAATAGTCCTTAGAAGGATATTCCTATATTTTTCAAAACCAAAACCCTCAACTATCATGAACAATTCAATGAAAATTGCTATATGTTAACAAAAAGATATCGTATCAATTAAGGTTTTCAATATTTTAGTTGTCATCAATGCGGCTGAGATGGTGGTCTTGTGATTGGGCATTCTCTCCTGTGTCGAAGCATACTTCATTGATTTAGAGTTTAGTCATGGTTGACCTTTATAATAGGCCATTATGGATGTTTGGAAGTAGGCTGAGGAGCTGTTCATGCATACCTTTCAATATTTAAATTTCAAATTTTATATGCATCTCATTTTAGCTGTGGATGAAAAAGGTGTATTTCATTTTTTTTAGGTTAATGCTTAATATAGTGAAAATTTTTTATGGCATATAAAAGATTTGGGTGATAAATGTAAAAAAAAAAAGAGAGTAAAATTTGTGTTATTGCTTAATTTTTAACATACAGATCACCTGAAATTTGTTATTTACAAATCAAAAATCCTTTTTTGCCTATCTTTTAAATTCTCACTCAAATATCAAAATTTATGATAAAATAGTTTGAAGGCTTGAGTTAAGATTGTTGCTTTATTGTTTTGATTTGCCTGAGTATATTTCCTTTTCTCTTTTTTTTTTTTATTTATTTCTCTTGTATTTGCATGTCAAAAGCTAAATTTCAACTTATATATATATGGTAATTTACTTGTGCATGAAACGTTCATTTCAATTTTTAAAAGTTAAAGTAGTGATATTTTTAATGTGATATCAAAAATTTGAATGGTATAAACATAAAAAATAAAGTTTTAAGTTTTAGATATGTAAATACGGAGGAAAGGGGGTGGTATGTATGTAAAAGTTCCATTTGTTAATAGTCCTTAGAAGGATATTGCTATATTTTCCAAAACCAAAACACTCAATTATCATCAACAATTCAATGAAAATTGCTATATGTTAATGAAAAGATATCATATCAATTAAGGTTTTCAATATTTTAGTTGTTCTTGTGATTGGGCATTCTCTCCTGCGTCGAAGCATACTTCATTGATTTAGAGTTTAGTCATGGTTGACCTTTATAATAGGCCATTATGGATGTTTGGAAGTAGGCTGAGGAGCTGTTCCCCTTTCAATATTTAAATTTCAAATTTTATATGCATCTCATTTTAGCTGTGGATGAAAAAGGTGTATTTCATTTTTTTTAGGTTAATGCTTAATATAGTGAAAATTTTTTATGGCATATAAAAGATTTGGGTGATAAATGTAAAAAAAAAAAACTAAATTTAGTTGTTAGATATGTAAATACATAGGAATTGAGTGGTATCTATGATTGTAAATCTTAGCTATGTAGAAAGCTATCCTTTTTTGTCCATCTTTTAAATTGTCACTCAAATATCAAAATTTATGGTAAAATTTTAACTCATATTTTTCATTTTTATCAAATAGTCAATAATTTGATCGTGGTACGTGTAAATACATCGTTCAAAAAAATCAGCGGGGTGGTTAAATTGTAAATATCAATGTTTTGAGTGGTCTGAATGCAATTATACCAAAAATCTATTTCGAAAATGGACTTTCATTACAATTATTCATGAATATATTATTTTTTATCTTCTTTATTACTTTAACCCTTCGTCTAATCTAACTCATTGAATTCCATTCCTTGAGCTTAATAAGAAATTTCTACACAGCACGAATAACTAAAAAAAAAAGGCAAATATCCAGAAATTATGGAACTGGGCACATGAAAAGGATGAGTGAATACAATAATCCAAGGAGCAGCACTTGGTACAATGCAATAGTAAATTTCAGTCGCTTGAAAAAACAAGAATAAAAATAATGGGGATCATACTTTAAAAAGAAAAATCCACATGTATATGGGAGATGTGCCAACACTGATCTTGAGGAGTTCTAACGATTAAAAAAAAGAAGGTACGTCAAAGGAGGGCCAACTGGCTGAAGATCATGGAGCCACTTACCCGATGAAATATAGCCGATTGAGCCAAAACAAGGCCAAAACCGACCAATTCATGAAAATGACCGAATGACCTGAATTTGAATCCATCGAACTAAAATGAGACAAATAGGCATATGAGTAAACCACTATAAGAAAGTCAACCGAAAGCAACAACCTACCTTATGATAAATCCAACCCTAGAAAAGATTCAGTCCTCACATCATCGACCATCCCAATGATGACCCTGAGTCTCCTCGACAAGAGTCTAGAGCTAACAATATTATAAGAAATCTTAGGGTGTGTTTAGGGTGGTAGAGTGGCTTCGTATCGTAGTTTTTTTTGTTTGGCAAAACTATATTTTATCCGATTTCTCAAAAAGCTGCAGTCGAAAACTGTGTTTTCCGACCAGACCTGACTACCTGCAGTGGCTACTAGAAAACTGTGGTATGAATTTTTCAAAAAAAAATTATAATAGTCACCGTAGCTTTTTAAATAGCAACTTCTTTAGCAGCTTCACAGTTGCTTCTTCAAACAACTGCCCCAAATAGACCCTTAATCATCCCTCAAACTCTCCTTATTGAGGAGTGAGTTACTTACCAAGTTAGGGTGACTCATCCTTTATCCGATAGCCTAGCATCGCTTGGGCTACAAGAAATCCTCACCAAGGACCAATGGTCAACAGTCTGGATCAACTGATCGGTAAATCCTAGCCAATCAAGCCAACATGACAACCTGAAGCCCCCATTATAGCAGGGGCTGAAACGTAATATCATCGTATTATATTCTAATAAATAAAGAGATTATTTCATGAATAAAACAAGACATATTATTGTTTATTGCAATGCACTTTCCTTTGTGTCTCTCTTTAAGTCTCATTTTTTTTTTCTTATGCTCAACTCATTCGAGGTGTGATTCACTGACAAATTTGGATTCAACAGCACCAATTTGTAAAAAAAAAAAGGACTTTATTCTAGCATATAACAGCCAATGCTTTCAAAAGCAAATACTTATTTTCGTTGGGGGCATTTACAAACATGCCACCCATTTCCTATGTATTTACATATCCAACACCTAAACTTTGTTTTTTTTTTATGTTTATACCTTCAACATATTTCATATCAAATAAAAAAATAACTTCATTTCAACTTTTAAAAAGTGAAATACGCCTTTTCATACATAGGCAAGGTGGCATGCATGAAAAAATTGTTAGTTTAAGAGTTAGAGCCATGTAGGTGTTCTCTGGCAATGGGTGAGAATTAAGTTATTACGATTTAGTAAATATCGTAAATTCGGATTTACTAAATCTTGGATAGGTTAAAGCCGGAAAACTATCTGACAATGTATTTACTAAATCCTGTAAATCCAGTAAAACTGTTTGGCAAGTTCTACAACGATTTAAGAAACGGTTATGACTGTTGGAGTGCAAAAAGATGAACATCAACTAAATATTTTCGATAACTGTCAATTGCCTTTTCCAAATCTCAGAGAGAAACAACCTTAAATTACCTTTCCCAAATCCTCAGCTGAGCAAAAGCAAGATTAGAAATTTCAAAGTTTAATAGTAAACAAAGCAAAACTAACCAAATACGTGGATAAACAACAACTCATAAGAATTTTCGGTAATAGCCAATTCACACCCTGTACATCAAAACTAACACAATAACTCAATTCAATTTGTAGTATCTACAAAATAACCCAATATCTGGAGGAAACGTTGAACAAACCCAATAGCTCTGCCATCAATATGCATTTTTCAGCTAGTATAAACCGCAAAATTTCTAGTGAAGTTTAAAAGAAAATGTACAAAATAGATATAAGTAGGAATATCCACATTTCCCAAAAAAATATATATATATATAAGCAAGGATATCTAAATGTTCTCTAGTAATAACACTGACACAATGGTTATCATGCAAAAGCATAGGTCTTCCAAGCAGCCACGCAAACACATCATAAAGTAGGGATCCCCAAAATACATTGGAGAATGATATGATTGCTCGCAAAGTATTACTTAAACATCACCTTAAAATTTCAGGTAGGACATTGAGGAGTGTGAGAGGAAGTAAATATCAATTAAATTGATGGCGGAATCTGGAAAATAGATATGGCAACGGTTTAGGGTAGACATCGAAGCTCATACAACCGATATTGCAACAGTTAACATGCAAAAACAGAGGTCATCCAAAGTGCTTCGTCATGGGATCATATAAGCAAAGATCCCCAAGTTGATATTGCAACTCATATATTCTCCTCTTATTGATAAATAGGGTGAGATGGAAAACATATATATGTACAAGTAGTAAATCAATTCACATAAAACTCTAGAATTGAATTAGTGCATGTCAACTTACAAGGAAAAGTAAATGAAAGATCAAATATATGTTTCTCCAATAATGAACAATCTTGACGACATAACAGAATAAGGTTCCATAACAAGATAAATAATATATGGAGGAATAAAATGTATCCGTGAATAAAACAATGCAATTTTACCTCATCAACATACAAAAGAACTCAAATCAACGAAGGTATGTGTGGAATATAATGCTTAACACATCATATCAGCAAACCACATCAGCACCGCGAATGGAGAAAAATCCATATAGATATTACTGTCACACAACTACATATCTAACCATTTTAGTAATTTATCATCAGCAGAATATAAAACCAAAAACATACATTCATATCCATGAATATGAATACAAATACCTCCACTCATTGTCCATGAAAGATGTTAGCCCTTCTTAAGAGAAATATTAAGATAACAATGAAATCTTCGCACCTATTACCCAGAAATCAAATTGCATCGATGTGCCATGAAGATGCATGGTGCTAAATATTTCACTATATAAGGATTAAAGCGGATCTATCGAATGATGTTTCATCGATCATGAATGTTTAAGAATATTTACTTTGACCATTAGCTTGGAAACTACAAACTGAATAAAGTAAGGGCTCTTTCGTTTGTTGGTTTTAAGCAGGATTTATGGATGATTTAAGCTGTGTTAAACAACAAAAATGGCTCAGTTAATCCTGAGCTCACGTAAATTATGAATTTAACCACAATTCCCAGATAAATCAAGCATTTCTTTCTCAAGCTAAAATTTCTCCATATAAAATACTGCTTGTGAAAATTTTATGGTGAATAAATGTGCAAGAAAGTGATGCATAGTTAATAAAGATTGCAACAATATCTTACGATGTTTGAAAATTTTTATTGTGAAAACATTCAATATATGGCTTTTCGAAAACGCTGATACAAAATTACTAACTAAAAAACTAATTCTAATGTGACACAGATACATTGAGATAATAAATAAAATAAAATTATCAGCCATTGCATCATCTTTGTTCATGATCCTGCAACATAAGTAAAACTAATGTTAACATAATGATTTAATTAATTATGAAAAAAAAGAAGATGTTTACGAAATTCTTACACATGATTCTCACATATTTATAACAACTGTATGTCAAATCATATCACCTTCAGTTTTTTCCCCAATAATTGCATGCACATTCAGGTCATAACCAATGTTCATCACTTCACCCAATTCTCTATCATGATGCATTTCAGCCTGTGGCATGTTAAAGTATAAATCATGTCTGTGACGTCTATCGATAAAATTATGTAAGATAACACAAGCAATCACTATATCGCCCCGTACGTCTAATGGAAACTGATGCATGTGTTAAAACCTAAAATTTCTCATTCCAAATGTCAAGTGTTTTTTCAACTACATTTCATAATTGAGCATGACGATGGTTATATAACTCTTTTGCTCCTGAGTAATTCCGAGTTCTTCTTTCACGGTACTCACTAAGATGATATCGACTATCCAGATAATGTGTTGATAATTTGTTGGTGTTAGCATATCCCGAGTCAACAAGATAATATCGCCCTTGTGGCACACGAAAATACCCTTGCTTAACCGAACACTTCGGTTTGCGAGATGAATTCCTAGATTCTGGGAACTGTACCGGTGAATTTTCATCAAATAAAGGTCATGAGCTGTCACTACCATGACGTAGTGAACTCTCCGGCACAAATTTCTTCATTTCTATGATTAAAATGTTGCATCGTTAATGTAACAACGAAAAACGTAATAACTAAAAAAAACAAGTTATGTTTAGCACATTAACATGTATGCCATATTAAATTCAAACAGTAGATTAAATCCAAAAGACAAACATTTGATGGTATATATATAAGCCAGAATTGTGACTACAAAAGTTAAAGTTTCACTAACCACCATAACCACTCCTTATATTCAACTAATTTGGTTGTTGGTGGACTCCCTATTAGATATTGAATTCATCATCACTATACAATTGCCCCTAATTTTTAGTTTAGATCTTTTAATTTCTTGATATCGTCTTCTCTTTTGTATTTTTCTTGCACCAAATTTACATTTTCTGAGTGCAGTAGATGTCTTTGAGTGAGCATTGGACTCGTAACTCATCTTAATTAAATTAATACAACAAATTCTTACTTTGACATTGTTATTTCTGTGGAGCCTACAAATGAATAACAATAAAAGTAAGAATATATATTCATCAAGAAGTTTGAATCCTGCATGAATATAATTAACTTTGTTGGACATAGACAACACTATATTTAGTTTATTTATGACAAACAAAAGCAAGCATTTTGGATTAAAGTGTTAGTGATCAACTTTGGATGAAAAACATTGAGCTAACTCAAATAGTTTTTGTTTATTGTTTCTCCAATAATATAAATCCCAAAATAGCATTTGTATATTCAAACTAATGCTAAACCACATTGTGGTGTGCTTTGTATCATATGTTACATATCAAAGTATGTATTTTACTACTTGATTATGGAAAATAGCATATGCGAATGCCTGAAAATCTTCAGACCACCCGCACATACCCCATCAAATAGCAAATTATCACTCAAAACATTACTTCAACAGCACACTATTACATATTACTTGATAATTATAATAAAAAAAATCCACGAATAGAATTATCGAGTGGATATAAGACTAAAAATAAGATTTTTGCATGTATGATGCAACTTCTCATATAATGCAATCTCTTTTTTTCCTTTTGCATGCTCTGTGAAGAGCCTCAAGACAAGGCACATGCAATCTAGATAAAAAAACTACAGGAAGCTCCTTAAAAAAAGGGTCAATGTTTGCTTCCATAAGCTCATGCAAGCTCAATTCTAAATATTATTGCAAACACAATTTTTTTTCACACAGAGCAAATCTATTAAGTGAAACATGACATCACATAGCATAATGGATTATTTTTATATGAATTTATACATTCATAGGTCTTTTTGATTTTCTTTGAGAAATGCAATTAAAAATGCCTCAAATAGATTATTAGATAGATTTAGATAGATCATTAGATCATTATTGCGATTGTCAATAGTGTGACTGTTAGGCATATAAATACATAAGAATTCGGTGGTATGCGTGTTAATCTTCATGAAAAAGCAATAGTTTTGATTTGTGATGTATGCAACTCCCCCTTTTCTACTTTGCCTAAATGTTTCCATCTGGACATACTGACTCATTCTACCCCATAATGATAAATCACCAAAAAGAAAACATAGATATAGCTTCCATGCAGAAACCACAAAAAGGGACTGTATGGTACCAACATTAAGGTGCAATTAACTTAGATTCGGCCAAATCACAACCATAGCATGCCATTGCCAAGGGTTTTTCATAGCTACTGCACCATGGAAGGAATTTTATGCATATAAAGAACTCAATACATGTTATGCCGAAGCGCTCCAATGGGAAAAAAATATTAACCTAATTTAAAACAGACTGCCAAACTTAGTTCATATGTAGCACAAGACAGAGATAGTAGCTTCTTCACCATGTAAGCAAATTAGATGTACCTCATAAATGCAAAAAAATTACAATCCATCTCCGACAAAGTAGAAAGCATTCATGCCTAACAAAAAATGGCCTCAATAAAGAAAAACAGCAACCTAAAGTTATGATCTCAAACAACAACAGGCCAAAAACTTGAATCTAAGACAGGAATGATGGAGAAAACCCACGTTGTTCGTATACACCATATGATGAGCAATCGAACCTCATTCAAGCGAAAAAAAAAAAAACAAAGAACAAAGAAGAAGAAAAAGTTACCAAAGAAGAAGAAAAAGTTACCTGGTTCGAAACTCAAAAAGGGGAAAATCGCTCAAAAAGAGAAGGTGAGAATGTTAACGCGAGAGAAAGGCGATCGATCCCACTATAAATATAACTTCATCGACCAGTAGACGACAGCCTGACAAGAAGATTGTGGGGAGGGAGGAAGAGATCCTTATTGCATGTTATCACTTTAGCCGTTACCTATCTGTGCCATTAATCCCCAACCCGCGAAGTTAAATCCGACGATTTGTAGTATTTAGTAAATCCTGGATTTATGGCCGAATTCCTTGAAATTCGGATTTAACAAATCCACGACTTTATTTTGTCCAAAATGACCGTCTAACAAGATTTAGCCTACATCTCGGTTGAATCCATGGCTAAATCTATTGCCAAACAGCCTCGTAAATACATAGAAATCGATTGGCATGTATGTAAACCTTCCTTTTTTTCTTTTCTTTTTTTTTGTTTCTTTATAAGGGAAAAATCTTTTTTACCCTCCCTTTATGTAAATTGAATAGTATGTCATCTGACTTGGGATGCAAACCAATAACAGCGTTTAGTTATGCTTTAGCACTTGCAGAGTGAGCTTCAAACTTCCATCTTATAAGTTAACTTACGTAAATAAAATGCTGCAAACATAATAAGATGTTTATTTTTCTATTTTTACTTATTTTTTGTTTATGTTATCAGCAGGGCAAGGTAACCATAACATGTTTTTTTTAAATAACAAATATAAAAAATACGTTTATTACCTTAAAAAATGAATAAAAAATAAGAATTTAAAAAATTTAATTTCAAGTAGATGAAATAAAGCCAACAATGCTAAATATATTTTTATAAAATGTTTATCAAATTGATTGATGTGACTCAAATTAACTAAAGAATTTTAGTAAATCAGTGACTGCATATTCAACTGGAATTTTACTGGAGCCAAACCAAAATTCCCCCTTTTTCTTAGAAACTCTTAATGCAACGAAAATTTTAAAAATAAATTAATGAAAGACAGTTCATCCATCATTATATGATTGATCAAATGAAAGACAGTTCATCCATCATTATATGATTGATTGTTCTAAAGATTTTTAAATCGAACATCAATATAACACACATTAAAAACTTGAACATTTCCAGCTAAAGTTCAGCAGCAATACCACTAATAGAACTCACTGTTTCTCCCCAGCAGCGCTAAGCAAAATCCTCCTTCTTAAGGTCGCAGAGCTCAACAATCTCCCACGATTCAGTCGTCCTGTCTCGCGTATCAGTCTTGCAGAGAGCCAGCAACGACACTTCGAAGCCGAGTCCGCAGATACTTTCATCAATCTCCATCGCTCGTGTCCGCGCTCTCTCCTTCTTCTCCTCGCTCAGATCCCCATAGATGAGACTCATATGTGGCATATAAGCTGAAATCAATCAAAACATCGAAATAGAGATCCCAATAAACAAAGGTAGAATCATGACAACACTTACGAGTCGATCTATTGTAACCGAAATGGCCGCAACAGTGGGCGCTGGTTTCCACCACCTAAATAACCGAAACCCTAATCATATTACAGGCTCTAATGACAAAAGTGAAAAAAGAGGGGGTAGAAGAGAGCATGCGTGCCTCAGGGGATGGATCAATGAGAAGATACACGCACTGATAGAAGAAGGTTCCGTAAGCGATGTCGGCGATGCGGGCGGTGAAGGGTTTGACGGAAGCCGCGGCGGAGTGGAAGCGAGCGATGGCGTCTTCGCGACGGAGGGGAAGGTCGCCGACGACGGTGATGTGGGGATCGAAGATGGGGCCGGCGAACTCCGAGCGGAGGGAGGACATTAGGGATTTGAGGCGGTGCTTGAAGTCCGGCGGCGGTAAGGCCCATACTGAGTAAGAGTCCTCCGGCTGATTGACGACTTCCAGATTATTTGATTCTGCCATGGCTGAGGAGAGTGAGAGGTGTTGTGAAAAATTAGAAGGGAGAGGATAAGCCATTCGAGTAATCACTCTAATTAAGGATAGAGAAGTTAAATAAATAAC